GTAGTATCCATACAAATACAATCTGTAGCAATTGAAACAAGAGGCCCGGGATACTGGAAAATTAATAACGGTATTCTCGACGAGCAAGAATATGAATGCAATATAAATAAAATTATACAAAAACATAAGAATAAGACAGAAAAAAAAAAGAAATAGATCCAAAACTTTTGTGGGACTCCTTCAAATTGGAAATATAGGAATACAGTGCGGGAGTTTCTCGCTGCATTGAAGACCCATTGGTGGCCTTCGGCTGTTGTCTGCTCTATGGTCGGGTAGTTGTCTCTTTGACACATTCCCCATTTCCATTCTCAATTTTAGTATTAAGTATAGTAAAAGTAAAGCAAAAAATAGGAAAAATGTAACACGTTAAAAATGTAACACGTAATTTAGAAGTACAACTAAAAATATTATATGAAAAATCAAATAATGAGAAAAATGATTTTATAAAAGAAAAATTATCCACTTTAGAGAAAGAGCTAGAAAACCAATATGAATACAAAGCTAAAAAAAAAACTCCAATAAGATCAAAACAAGCGTGGGTAGAAAAAAGGAGAAAAAAATAACGCGTATTTCCTAGGCCTTGAAAAATCTAAACAAACGAAAAAGACAATACTTAAACTGAGAAACAATAATGTGGTAATAGTAACAGATCAAGATGAAATATTAAAGCTTGAGAGAGATTTTTATGCTAATTTATACGACACTAAACAAAAACCGGATACAGATGTTCAAACATACATTACTGAAGCAAAACTTAATTATAAATTGTCAGAAGAAGAAAGTAAGTCTTGTTACGAAAACGTAACGCTAGAAGAATTAACTATTGCAGTCAATAATCTAAAAATAAACAAAAGCCCAGGAATGGACGGGATAAGTCTTAACTTTTATAAAAAAATTTGGGAACTTCTTGGACCGCTACTTGTAAATGTTTTTAATTTTAGCTTTGAAAATAAACATCTGCCGTTTACGCAGAGACAAAGTTTACTGAATGTAATTTATAAGAAAAATGATCCTTTGGAACTTGCAAATTACAGACCAATATCAGTATTAAATAGTGATTACAAAATACTCTCATAAACTTTAGCTTTAAGAATAAAAGAAATCTTAAATATAATCATTAATGCTGATCAAACAGGATACATAAAGAACAGATTTATAGGTTTTAATTTACGCCAAATAAAAGATGTAATAGATTACGCAGATAATTTTAATATTGAAGGCGCACATTCATAGATTTTTCGAAAGCTTTCGACACATTAGAATGGAATTTTATGTATCATACATTAGAATATTTTGGTTTTAATAAACCCTTCATAAATTGGATAAGAACATTGTATACAAATATAAATAGTTCTATATTTAATAACGAGTGGACATCTGCCCCTTTTAGACCCCTAAGAGGTATCCGGCAGGGATGCCCGTGCTCTTCTCTACTTTTCGTTATGTCAGTCGAAATAATGGCTAACCAAATAAGGCAAAACAAAAATATTAGAGGCATAGAATAAAACATTGATAGTAAAACACATAGCTTGAAAATCACGCAAGTTGCTGATGATACAACTCTATTCCTAAAATCAAAAGAAGAAATCCGAACAGCATTAAATATAATCGAAATTTTGGAACTTTTTCCGGATTACAACTAAATAAAAATAACACAGAAGGAATTTGGATTGGTAAACTCAAACATTGTAGAGATAAAGTAGATGAAATTAATTTCACGGATAAACCCGTAAAAGTGCTAGGTATATATCTCGGCATTAATAAAAAAAAGATTGTGAAAAATTGAATTTGGATACTAGATTTGAAAAGAGTCGAAATCTGATTACATCGTGGAAAAAAAGAAACTTAACAATCTTTGGTAAAATTCTAATAGTTAAAACCCTCATTATACCACAATTTACTTTTTTGCAAACGTTACAGCTTTAAGTAACTCAAATATACTTGATCTAGAAAGAGAAATCTTTAGTTTTATATGGAATGGTAAGAAAGACAAAGTTAAAAGAATTCTTTGTTAGCAGATTACAACCAGGTAGGACTAAATATGACCGACATAAAAAGCTACTTCTCCTCTCTTAAGATAAGATGGGTCTCTAGATTGCTACAGGCAAAACAAGAAAATTGAACATTGATACCAAAGCTATTTTTAAATAAATTAGGGGAAAATTTCCTCATTTTTAGAATGAATTTAAACAACCAAACCTTAAAAAAACTAGATCACATAACTAAGGATATTCCAGAAGTTTACTTAGAAATAATAAAAAGTTGGATTTTAATTCATGAAACGAAAAACACAGAATTGAAAAACTTTGTCGAGATAACAAAGCAAGTTATCTGGGGTAATAAATTTATAAAATTTAAAAACAAGCCGCTTATTATGCATAATTGGATACAAAGTGATTTCATTTATGTTAATGATATTATTGACGACAATGGAAAAATTGCCCACGATAAAATATTTAAAAAACTGCGAAACACTAAAAATTGGATTGCAGAAATTTCAATAGTCAAAAACTCAAATCTCCACAAATGGAAAATCGAAACTAGTCTATATTGTCAACTTTGTCAACTAAAAGACACGTATCATCACTTTTTTATCGAATGTAAATTTCTAAAAGAATTTTTGGGAAATTGTAAATAAAATTTTATCTCAAATGAATTTTAATAAAAAAAATCAACTTAAAAGATATCGTAATAGGCTACAAAATAACATATAGCGAGTATATCGGATTCAATATAATTCTGACAATTATATGATTTGCTATCTACAAATTATACTATGTATCCAATCGAAGAAATAAATCTACTTATGTATTCATTCTCTTTAAATCTGAATTTGACGAATATGTAAGATCCTACAATTTAGACAAAGAATATACTTCAGTCCAAGTGTTTCAAAATTTAATTTAACAGAAATGTGTTTTTCTCCAAAACGCAAAACACTTTTATGATATCTTTAAGACACCTTAACTATATAAATAAATAAATAACTCACCTAATAAGTTTAAAATCCAAGCAGAATTAGATATAAAATCGCCAAATTCAACAATAAGTTTCCATTCAAAAGCATGCTCTCACCTTTAAACGAGGTAAACCATCCGATCAAGAAAATCGATATTCCACACACTTAAATCATGCAATTGATAAACGAGATGAACCGACACTAGATTTCGGATAAGTGTATTATATTATTATTGAACATTGTATTAAATTGTAAAAAAAGTATATAATTAATTTCAGATCAGTGTATTACATTATTATTGAACATTGTATTTAATTATACTATTCTAATATGAAATATAAGAAAATAATACTTATCTATATGAAACCCTGTTCTTATAGATACTAACAATTTCAGGGTACCTTACAGTTAAAGCTGTAGTGGTAAGGTCATTGTTAACAGGTTTAGTGCATTGAATTTATATTCAAGTGTTAAAAAAAAAACAACAACAACAATTTTTATCATGATTCCAATATAAACGCAACATGCGTAATTTATCAACGTTTTTGAACTTAACATGATTCATACAGTATGTTTTTAACTTATTACTGATACTAGATGGTTTGAGACTTTATACCAAATGACGTCAAAGGTATAACAAAAATAACGAACACCACGGCAATCCCAAAAAGGGGATAATTCCATCAAATTAAAGGTAACACAATCAAACGTGAGGATTTAATCAACCAACGGAATAAATAGCAAACAACCGTCATAGTTCATAGACATAACATGTACAATTTTTTTCTGCTCGGCTGTTTTTTTTATTTGTGTAGGTGCTTCTCCATTTGTGCGGAACATTCACTTATACGACCATGCAGTGAAACACCGACAGCAGTTGTCATGACACTTAAAAAAGACATCTATTTTTATTCGAATAAATCTGAACAGGCCAACACTAAGTTATGTCATTTTCGTTGATTTCAAAAATGAATCTCAAAACGCAAAATACTGCAATGTTTAGTGACCAGGCGATTTTAAATAAAAAATAGGTTTAGACTATTTATCCTAGTAAATTACAAGATGTAACAAGAGCGTTCCGTTATCAAATTTTGTAAACCATTTTTATAATGAAAGTCAAAAGAACCGACGGAACACATAAAATTTAAAGAGAGAGATTAGATTCTGTCTGCAGGATAAGCCTTATCTGCTTTTCAGGGTTTTCCAGCCATCGAAACTAAGACTCCGTAACGAAAGAAAATAAGTCACAACGTATGTTTATAAATTGTGGACAACAATACCTGAAAATCATAGTCGGAAAACATGTCTGTTCTTGATTGCGACAACAACAAATCGCATGTCAGTTAATCATAATGTTAGGCATAACACTTGTGGCGTTGCGCTATTATTTATTTCAGATTTTATGTTTAAGCACAACGTTTAACCCTATTACAGAATTCCGTATAATGCGACGTAATGTATCAGTAGAGATGGACGTTGACTGCTGTACATAAAATGTGACATTTTTACCTTTTAAGTCTTGTTTGTTTTGCTTACACATCGCTGTCAGTATAACTGAATTCAATGCAATTGTAATACAAGTGAGATGTTGAGCTAGCTAAAATAACCAGGTTAAATCTACCGTTTTCTACATAAGGAGATGCCTGTACCTAGTCAGATATGTGAAAGTTATTTTCTATTCGTTTAAAGTGTATTAGCTTGTGATTTTGCTATACTTTCCGTTTTGAATTTCCCTTGAAGTTCGGTATTTATCTTTTTACTTTAACTGACATGCATCTGCAGATGAGATTTTACTACTGAGAAATTAGAAGGGAACAATTAATGTATTTAACTTGATTGACAGGACACCCTGTACATGATATATGCTTCTTTTATGTCTTACTAGTCGATGTTTCAAAATATCTTGTATCCGTTTAGACTTGCTTGTTATATTTTATATTTTGTAATGTACTGTATCATAATTATATGATCCATCGCCCCGCAAGAGTTATCGTTTGCTTTTATTCAGACATTTAGTATTAAAACTATCTTGTATATATAGGACTTATATCTCACAAAGAAGGTGGACATGAGAAATGTGCAAAGGGACAAGATTTGTCCAGCTTAGAAAATGACGGTATGTTAATATCAAAATGTACAATTGAAAGTGTAACACTTATTGACTTTATATTAATACATTATATAATGTAAAAGAGAAAAATTAAAATATTAAATTCCAATATATCCTCGTCTCATGGGTTTTCGTGCTATTAAAAATGCATTGTCACGTCACATTTTCCATTGAAAAAACATGCATAGTACGTATTCATATGACGTACGAAAACATATGATCTGACAATTATGGAAGAAAAAAAGAGATAAGGATATTCAATCCTGAGACAAAATTGGTACAAGCACTGCAAAAAAGCAAAGGAACATCGCAATCATTGCTGTTCTTTATCTCAAAGTCAAAATGAGGCCTTAGACAGAGAGCCAAAATACAAAAACAAAAAAAATCAACCCTCAATGCAATTTTAAAACGTCCCTATCACCGGGTTGAGCAGAAATCTTTGAAAAGATAATTCGGAAAGACTTTTAAGCTGTTACACCAATAAAACGGGTAAATTCAAGTCTCAGTTTATGAAAACTCATTTCCTTTTTGTGACAAACACCAAGGCCGAATTTGAATGGTTAACATGTATTTTATTACTTTCTGTACATAAACAAAATGTGAACGACAAACACATTTAATGTTGTCTCTTTGAACTTTGATTATCATGGAATTTCGTAGTAACCCTTGAAAAAAATAAAGCAGCTGTTTGTTCTTTTATCTACTATCTTGGTCTCGATTGGGGTTATAAGTAAACATATTCTATTTTTATACATGATCACATTTTAGTGACGTAACAAATTATACCTAAATACAAAACAAACTAGACTAATAAGGTTAACAAACTTATCGAAGATACTAGACTTATCTTTTAATTTGAACGCCTGACAAATGACGCTTAAATCAAATCAGATTGAAAACTAATTCAAATACACATTTGAAAAGAAACAAAACCGAAAAATTCCGAAAAGATGTGCCAAAGATGGCTAACGAAATGGTAACCTTGGAATGAAATAACCTTAGTGTTTCAAATTAAACATTTCATAAATTTTACAGAAAATTATCATATCAGTGATATGTTACCTCAACACAAAACATGCACATGGCTTAATTTCTACAATTGGTAAAACTTTTCCACCAAAAACGACGACCACAACGATAATCTTTTTAGAAAAACTACAACTGGCAGGATGTTTGGTCAATTTCATTCCAACATTGTGCAAAAATATTTTATTTTCTAATTTTCGGTTTACATTTCAAAAAAATTCGCCGGACTTTCAATAACCGTTTTGTACATTTCAACGCCATATGACTACCACAATTTTGGGATTTAGCAAATTCCTTTGAAGAATGAATTGAACAACTAATCGTTTTGGACACATAACTTTTCCCTTATTAATAGGATTTTCGTTGGTTGTAATAAGATTGTGGCTTTCACATTTTTTATATTGGCACATTGTGACTGCACTTTTTAATTACTAGCAAACAGTTAAGAAATCACTGCTCGGTAGCAGATCAAACCCCAAAAAACTTCTCTGGTCACAATTAAATGTAAAAATAAGAAGATGTGGTATGAGTGCCAATTAGACCACTCTCAACCAAAGTAATAAGGGGTAAATTTAGACCATTATATATCATTGTAAAGCCTTAACACAGACCCTTGACTCACGACGAACATCAAGCTATAAATTAAGGGCCCGTGTAACAGAATCCAAACAGGAAAAACAACGGTTTACTCGTAATCTATATAAAAACGAGAAACAGGAATCACTTACGAATCATTTGTTTACTTTTACAAATTGTGACTTTGATTGAGAGTTGTCTCATTGACACTCATACCACATCTTCTTATATACATAAAAACAACAATCACTGAACAACAGGTTCCTGTCTTATGACTGGTTAAACAGGCGCAAACCTTCAACCTAACCTGAAGTAGTAGTGTAACATTACAATAGTGAAAGGCACACTATACAATATCAATAGAAATGACTTAACTCAATCAAATAAAGTTGTTAATCAAAACAAAGCATACACTGAATGGATATATTTGATCTCTCACACAATATAAATACAATATTAATAAAAATATAAAAAAATATGCATGATTCAATATTTCTGATAAAAATTGAAACATTAATTAAGTCATTTGCTGCCATACAAGATTTTATACACACAACTAATTGATAATTTTATAATGCAAGATGTTTTTACCCTTAAAGAATATATGGAAAGATTTGAGAAAAGGACAGCTAAAATCAAGATTAGTAAAAGAAAGCTAGAAAATACAGAGGAATGGGATGTTACTATATCAACAGGTAGGTCATGTTATAATCAGCAATATAATATTATGAATGTCCATTCTTTTAAGTATACTTTTGGTTGAATTTTTTATCCAGTGGTTTCAGTCGACAAGATTAAAAAGTTTACATCGACGGTGGACAACATGGACACGAAATTGGGATAAAAAAATCACGTGGTAAAAAATAGATCTAAAGCCAGACTTTGTGTACATATATTAAAACAACAAGTGCAAATATGAAAACAAAGCCGTATACATATCCCGATTTAAATGGTACTTATTTTATAATAGCTCTTAGATAGTCCGTATATATCTCATTTTAATAAGGCATATGTTTGACCTTTCATTCATAAACTTTAAATTTTAAATATATGTAGAAAAGATAATAACTTATTGTATTTCAGAAGAGAAAAGGGCAAAAATGAGAATTGATGGTCTGGCCGAGAAAGAAGAAATAAAAGTTTTAGACGAGAGAGATCTCTTCCAATGTGAAATAGGGACGACATCGTCGTTAAAAATAGTAAATGTGAAAAAAGGGTCTATACAGCTTTACCTTCGTGCTGCGCCTAACGCATTTAAAAGTCATAAATCTTTCAGATCATCAATTCGTGCTGTAATCCAGAGAGTACTAGAAGTAGGACAAGTTGACACAAGCATTGAAGGCACTTTTTATGTACAAGTTACCTTTGATACTGGTGAAACAAGGGGTACGTATCCAAACACCTAACCATCGAAAGATAACATCAGTAAATGAAAATGTATGACTAGATCGAGATAACTTAGGAACTTTGGTTGTTAAAGTGAACACGGTATCAATATTTCTTGTCATCTGTCGTGTGCATTCTATAATATTTAATGTACCTACATGAAATTTTGGATCGATGAATAGATGGTCCAATAGACCACTTTTGACATCGTTGCATCTTCGTAATTTTGTTTTTAATTTAGTGACGATCATTCGAGCTGTTGAAAAAATATGATGCTATATTGCGCGAATTACTCTGCAAATTAAATTCTTCAATTTAAATAACTTATTCTACTCAAGGATGATTACGAAGAGGCGTAACGAAATTTGATAGTGCAGGGATATAGACAGGCACCTCAATCTAGTAAATGGCATCATTAAGGCGTGCATTATTGACACATTTTGCCGGTGAAGGACATTACTAAAAAAAACCTGGTCTATTTTAACTGCACCAGTGCTCCTTGAGTAAAACGAAAATGTTTTGATTGGAAAGATGTATAAATTTCTAAGACTTGTTTTGAAACATTTGGCACATTGAAAAAAAGTTATTGCTTGATATATATGATTAAGTCAGTTGACATATTATTAAAATGCTACAATTTTCAGATTTAACAGATAAAATAACATAGTTAGTTTGATCATTGTCAAAACAGTATGACAACAAATTAGTATTAAGGTTGACAACAACACATACGCGGAAATACCAATGAAATAAACATGTTGTAGCGACATGCATCGAAAACTGAGTATACAAACTTGCATTCAAGATATTTCTATAACACAATCGTTGATAAATAGATTTTTAAAACTATTTGCTATTTTAAATGATAAACAGTGTTATTAATTTACAAAACAATACAACAGAAAACTTGCTAAAAATAAGCAAGAGTTTTCTATTCAATAAGTGTGTACACTAGTTTTGAAAGTTGGTTGCTTATCATAGTAATAGTTACAACCATATCCTAAAAATTTATAAAGAAGACAATTTCAAAGCTACGCATATATCATGTATATGTGTTTAAGTAATAAACAATAGTAATTTTGAAAATACAGAAACGATTTAATATTGATTAACTTTAGATTGTTTTTCGAAGTGACTTCATGAATATCAACTTCAGAGTTTTCCAAAAATATTTATGTATAGAAAATGTATAGAAAATGATTGATAATATAATTTTAAGTTTTCAAAGTAAACAAGGTACTGTTATAATACATACGAACAAAGGAGCTAAAGTCTTAATAAATAAAAAAAGACGTGTATAGGAAGCCGTACGACATAAAACAATGACAACTGGTATACACTATACAATAGGTCTTATTTATTGAAAATTCACCAAAGCATATGACACCGAATTTCTTAATTGAAAAATAAACATAAAAAGCAAGCAAAAATTGACGAGAATACGGACCTTCGAAGGACCCTTATAGATTTGGTGGCGTTACACTTGTCTGTGAAAACTCAAACAGAGTATGCGACAGTCAAAACCAATAAACTTAACTTAAATTTAATTTATTAGATTTATAAAAGCAATGCATATATATATACATGGTATAATCACTTGGACTCCGTTACAAATACAATGTTGAACAATCGTATAAATCAGAAATATGCCAGTGAGAAAAGTCCTGGTAAAAGTAAAATTACATAAATACTGAACTCCAAGGAAAATTCAAAAAGGAAGATCCCTAATCAAATGGCAAAATCAAAAGCTCAAACACATCGAACGAATGGATAACGAAAATTATTTTTTTCAAGTGCAGTTGAGTCTACTGAACTTTATATCCGGATAGTGTGAAGGACAAAATACACGGGTGAAATGAAAGGTCCATTCGATTAAAAATTACTGTATTAGTAATTCAGTGATATGGTTATTATTGTTGAGGTTACTAAGCATTGTATGTTTTGTTGATAACATTTGAAATTTCTATACAAGCCAATTAAATGATGCAGGATCTATACTCCCATCGTTTTCATATGTATGGTATGTGAAATTATAAAAGCTATCACACAGCAACGTTACAAACTGTCAGAATAGTTATCAAAGGTACCAGGCTTATAATTTAATACGCCAGACGCGCGTTTCGGTACATAAGACTCATCCGTGACGCTCAGATCAAAAAAGTTATTAAGCCAAACAAGTACAAAGTTAAAGAGCATTGAGTACCCAAAATTCAGAAGACATATGAAACCCAATCGTAGATTTAACAATTTTAACATATAACAACTTTCTGATTTAAAGTTACTCATCATACGATTAAGTAAAAACATTTATTTGTATGTTATTTACCACAATTTTATATTTGCAACATAGATAAAAACAAAATGTAGGGGTGATCTCAGCTAAATCAATCAGATAGTCGCAATTGTTGACTGACTATATAATCAATAAAACACAAAGTGTATATCATTATACCTTAACAGGTATATAACATATTAAGTCTTGTGTTGTTCTTGAGTCCAAAAATGTTCTGATCCATATTTGTAAAAAAAAAAAAAAAAAAAAAAACCTCGGTAAACGTTTAAATGCTTTCTTTTAAACAGACAGGATTGGAGTGATACAGCAACTGATATATCAAAACACTATGGATAAAGAATTGGACAAAGATACAAGTTTGGTTTCAACCAGTCTAGTGCAAAGATTTTTTCCCACAAATAAACTCGAATTTATATATAAATGTGTATCACAATTACGTAGTATAAAACGGCGCGCAAAACCCACTGTTCAAGAAAAATTGAAATGTTTATGATATTTCAGTTACGCATGATTATTTCATTTTAACTTTTATGTTTCTTTCGTAATTCATTGCGACGAAAAGATGTATAGGCTGTCAAAATATCAATTAGTTACTCAATCACAAGACGCATTATTATAGAAAAAAGTCATCATAGAAATGTATCAGGATAATGATTCTCTACAATCGATGTTTACACTGTCTTTAATCTTAATGGATGCTAACATGTAAACATGTAGACCAAATACAAAACCATAACAACGTCATGTCGAATATAACATTGATAACAACGTTGTCTATGGTCTAATAAAACACTTCCTATGTTAAAAGATAGTATTTAAAATGTCTTTGATTGCATTCAACTGTAATTATAGGCAATTCATGTAACTGAGTGTAAACTTCGGAATCGTCAAATCGATTATATCGCATATACAGGTAACTCGGCTTCTATTCAGCTTGCGACCTCGAGTTAGCACATATATATAAATTCCTTCGAAATCTAATCTTTATACATATACATATATTTTAAATACATAAGTCATGCAATTTGAGCCACATTGATAGCAGAATAGATGGAGTCACATAATCTCAAAAAGTCGAGAGACAGTAGTTTTGAAATTTGATATTTTAGAAGACATAATTTAAAGAGGTTATCAACTGAAGATTTATCAAATCAATCAAGTATGGTTGTAAACCACTTGCTTAAGTCCCGTGTGTTTACCACTACATTGTCCTTGTTAGCCCTAACATTTGTTTGCCATATTTTCTCATATTTTGTGTTAGAATGTATAACCTGACTTCGCACTGCTTTGCAGTCCTATGCATTCATTTTTATATCAACGGCATTATGTTCTATATAAACTTCTTTCTGTGCTGACTTTTAAATTGAACATTTGATCCAACAACTTGTTGTGGACTAATATAAAAAAATCATAGCACTTAAATAAGTCTTAAATATTAAGACGCAACTTTGTGACATTCTGCCCTAAATATTTGACCTTCCCGTAAGGGACATATACCCCGTTAACAGCTTCTGTAAAACAGTAATAATTAGATTGAACTCGTAAACAAAAGGTCCTAGACATTGGGTACCAATGACCTTGACTTAGGTCATAAGGTTAAAGTGATTGTAGTGTTCAAGATAGCGAACTTTGTGTTTTTTACCCTATCTTAAGAGATTTTCGTATGTTTTAAAGCTTTACAGTGTATCCTATGTCTATTGAAACATTTATTTATGTCACTTGAGACAATGTACTGCAATTATTTCTTCACTGAGGAAGTTGTATATGGTACTTGTTGTTGGGACGGAACAAAAATGTATTTCAATATCAAAATTTCGAAAAGAAAAAAAATGCATTTTCATTTTGTTCATTTAGTTCCTGCCATACCGCGAAGCCTCCCCGTGTGCACGGTTGTGTCTGTATTCCGATGAAATTAATGTTCTGGTGGAACGTAAAAAAAAACAAAAGATATATTTTCCCTCTTGATATTCAATTTTTGTACATATCAAAGGCTGAGTATCGATGAAATAATATACAAATATGTTCATCTTTTCGATAATGTTTACCATTAATTTTACTTGCATTTTCTTCAGATGAAGACTGAAAGGGCTGCTACGTTTAGCGTTAATGAATTTTCTCAATTAGGTGTTAAATGAAGCAGAAAAAGCAAAGCATATTAGTTGTTTATTTTAGAAAAGACTGAAGACATACAGATAAGATGGAGTTTACGTTTTTGTTTGAACCGTTTTAAATTTGGAGCTTCCTGTTCTCGTTGTTAGGTTTTAAGGAGTTAAAGAAAATATATTTTTTGGAATTCGTTAACTTAAAATGTTGATTAAGATCTTGATAAAGCCTTTGATATTTAGGTGCTTTTGATTACAAGATTGCGTTTTTTTTTATTATTATAGATATCCACTTAACAATATATTATAATAAAGGAAGGAACATTGATATTGGTGCGAAAAATCGTTACTTTTGTCTTAGCTTTTTTGTAGAATTTCTCGTGCAAAACTGAAATATCTAAATCTAGGAAAAGACAGCTATTACCGCTTATTTTTTTTTTATGTTGGTTCCTGTCGGTAAATTTGGAAGTATATTTAGAAAATGCTTGATTATTAAACGACAAAATATAATATTTAATACTATAATGATTAATATTTATTAAATATGGCATGATGCATGTAGCCATAATCAATTAAAATAAATAAGTAGAAAACTAAATGTTATGTTGTTCATTTCAGAACAAAATGAAGACATAGAGGCAAGAAATAGGGAATTAGTAGAAATTGTACATCGACTGAAAAGTATGTTTGGAAAATATGTTGTTGTTTTTCGTATTTTTGCAGTTTAATTTCGCTGTATTTATTGTCATCAGTTGATACTAGAATAATTTCTGTTTTTGTATTTGAGTTCAAATGTTTATAAATGGTAACGAATTCCTCTTTGATTTTCATTCTTATCTTTATATGTTTATAGTTTTTCAAACTATATTTCTTTAATAAAAGATTTAAATAATTCAAGAAATACTGTGTGGAATAAATTCGGTCGCAAGTGGTATGGGTTTCGCTCATTATTGAAGGTTGTACGGTCACCTTTGGTTGTCTACACCCACGTTGTTTAAACAGTTGAGTTGTCTCATAGGCAATCAATCCACATCTACATTCTGATTCAAGATTTGAATAATTCAAGAAATACTATGTGAAATTAGGCAATCAATCCACATCTACATTCTGATCCAAGATTTGAATAATTCAAGAAATACTATGTGAAATAATAATAGGCCGCAGGAAAAACAGTAAACGAGGTCTGGCAAGACGATACAAACCGCCGGCATTTGTAATATTCGCAAGTAGGTGCTATTCTGGTAACAGAAGTAACAAAAGTTCCTCTAGTGGAATTAGAGTGAACGAGGAGCACGACCCCACACTGACGCTAGGCCATAACCTTGATAACGCTTTCCCGGTACTCGGAGAATAAAATAATTCAAAACAGGTAGCAGTAATGAACCGCCCCCTCTGGTACAAAAGAGGAGACCAATTATAAAAAAAACACAACTTCGCTGTGGTACCACAGGAAATATGTTGGCATATGGTCTAACGTAGAATTATAGGGTCATGTCCCCCGGTCATCTTGTCAGATCCCGCCCCTGCATGAACACTGCGACAATTGTTTTATTGAAAATAATACGAACAAAAAACAATCATGAATATCAAAATGCATTAGAAGTGTCTTTGTTTTTAAAACGTGTATAAAATATGAAATTCTATTTTTAAAGTTTTCATTTTTCTAAATCTTCTAAACGTCTACTGACTATAGGATGTGATAAAAACGAGCATGTCTTTTTGCACTGTCTGTTTTCTATAAGTATGTATTAAGTATTCAAATAAAACGATCCGTCTAAAAGTTCCATCCTCCAAAGTAATCCTTTAGTAACTCGTGAAATCGGAATAACTGTTAAGCTTATAAACTGGACATAACCACATACTGCAATACTAATACAATTTTTGAAGTCGAAAGTTCATGATATAACTCCTTTTATACCGAACAATTCATTTCCTTTTGCTGAATCTGTTTACCACGTCTGCTGGATCACCACTTTCCATAAACCTGAAAAACATTAAAATACAACAGCAGAAAGATAATCCACAAAAAAGGCGAATGTAGGGGTAGGTTGGTGGGTTTTAGCAAGCTTCCTTATCGAACGTTAGAAAATTCTAAAGGTGACGTACATGTACGTATAATAGTGACGTCACACAGGAAAAAGGTCACAAACACGAACAAGGGTAAGAATACGAAAGGAGAGGGGCTCGAGAACAAATACGGAATTTTAACATTCTTGCCAAATAAGAGCAATACCGCGTGTTCTTGTTGGTTATACTTCATATTTATTTTATTATATCAATGTGTTGTTGTTATGTAGTGTTATGTTAGGTTAAAAAAAATCTATTTACTGGATTTCACTCAGCTTGACACTTTACATCGCATCGCCAACGAGTCGATTTGAGAAAGCTTTAACATAAGGTTCACATAAATAGGTTCACAGTACCAACATTTACGTGTCATGCATTAGAAATGCAAATACATGCATAAACAATGCTAACCGAAGGTAATGTTTACAAAAAGACTACATATTTTGAAGATATTCTTTTTATAGAACGTGTATATTAGTTTTTATAATGTTTATTTCAGATGAAAACGAAGAAATCAAAACAAGAAATAGGGAACTGGAAGAATCTGTCAATCGACTAAATGGTATGTTTTACAGTCTTGATTTTTGTCTCGCCTTGACGGAGTCAAAACGTGAGACATAATTTGCGGTTTCCTGAGTCGGCGGCTGGGGCGGGGTCAACAATGTATTTGTTTGTGATTAGGTCTTGTTAAAAGTGAACAAAGTGGTAGGGCAATCATATTTGGTATGCAGTTGCAGTAACATTGGCACATTTCATTTACATGGAGATTATTTGGTCCTACCTCCTCAGTCATAGTCTATTGACTTTGAAACTTTTGCTTATTTTACATGTATAAGTGTGTGATGAGGCAAGTTTGTGGGGAACCAATAGTGGTAGGTCAATGATATTTGGTATGCAGTTGCATAAGCATTGGTATATCTCATTTCCATGGAGAATAATTGATCCCGCCCCCTCAGTCATGGTCTATAGACTTTGAAAATTTTGCTTAGTTTACAAGTATTAGTTTGTGATTAGATCAGTTTAAGGTGAACTGCAAATGTTAAGTCAATGATATTGGGTATGCAAATTTATTGGCATTTGAAAGTATCGTATCCATGAAAACTGTATACCCCCACCATCTTTTCATGGTTCTGTGACTTTAAAACTTTTACATAGTTTACAAGTTAATAATTCTTATATGATTTGCATATCTATAAATTCTTGAAACGGATTGGTCATAACATTTTTTCCCTTGGTTTACACTTCGATGAGCCATGTTTCCGAAACTACTTTCATAACCTTAACTGTGATCTATTTATGCGCAATACTCATGCATGCAGGGATCCCGTGATTTTCAGCAAATTGAAATTGAAAATCAAAAAACATAACAGTTGTTTCTATTTTAATGCATATATAACAGAAAAGAAATAATGCATTGAAGCTTTGAAAAAGTATAAAATTTAAATTCGTATAAAATTCCGGGAAATTTCACGAATGATTTACGTCATGGCAAATCACGACGTCATACGAATGAAAACTTTCAAGCGATAAATTATTTCGTTACTTGTACAAGTCAAGTTCGGATAATTACTAATTATAATGAAGGTTTTGAGGTAGGTGCTCTTTCATTTTAGATTCTGTTCCATTTATCGGACATTTATAATTTTCATAAAGTCAAGATGGCGGCTTTCTCCTTAGTTACGACATGCCCTTGTGTTTTTGATGATAAATATAGTAGCCATCAAACAAAAAATGTTAATCAAAAATTGCGAATGTTTGGCCGAAGAATAATAAGGACTAAACACATAGTGTGTAGATGTTACATGTATTGATGTGTAAACCGGGGCTCTTACTCATAAACTTATGTGACGGGATTGCTTCCCTTAGAACATGTGGTAGATACTTAGTCAGCCGTAAGCGTTGAGCTAAGGAAGTACTTCTTTAGCTCAGTCGATTAACGCGCTGCCTTGTAACACAGAGGTCCGGGTTCGAGTCCCGGTGAAGACAAAGATGTTTTTGTAAGATGAATCATGCTCTCCGGTTACACTTAACATAAAAGTCCTTTGGAATGTTATTCAATTTGTGAGTTAATCGCCCCGGTTTACACATCAATAACCTCTAGAAAAAAATGTGCTTAATACTATAATGTTTGTGTTTAGGTTTGTTTAAAGGGAACGACTTATAATAAGTCAATGGTATTTGGTATGAAGTTTTTTTTAGCATTTGCACATCTCATTTACATGGAGATTGATTAGCCATCTACCTCAGTCATGATTCATTGACTTTGAATATTTACATGTCTTATGTAACATGTTTAAGTATTGCTATTTTAATTTCAACATTTGCAAAATCAAAATTACAAAAAGGCGAGAGATATCTCTGTGATAACAGTTTATTATGTATCGTTTAAAAATGCAGTTTTCATTTCTGTTCTCAGTTAATACAAACATGTTACCTACACGCGGAAGTCATGGTGCTGTAAATACATTTTCAAAATGACTTGCGCGTGTAGGTAAAGGTGAAATAAATAGGTTAGCTTGCTTGCTTTCTAGCTCAACCGCGAAATCATTATTATTCTTAAGATACCTTTCTTTGAACGCAGTCAATTACTATAGTTAAGTATACTGAACCAAAATAAAGTAATGACAATGTAAACAGTTTAGAAATATGTTTAATAAACCGACTAAGTCTACTTTTACAGTTTTTGTAGCACTCCCTGTCCACCCACTTCCCCTCTCAAAAACAAATTATCAAAGATAATGAGATCCTTTCATATAGAACAATAATAGAAAGTTTTGCTGATTGATTAAATCAGATTGATATATTGAATTACGCCTGTAACCAATCTGGATGTTATTGATGGAAAAAAAAAGACAAATCAAACACACCTGCAACTTTAAATCATATGTTTTTACTAACCTGAATAACTGGTTTCGCAATATTTATATATTGTTCCTACTTTTGATTGGTTCACTGGTTAACCATAGAATCCACCAAAACGAAGTTAGTACCTTAACTACTAATAATATCATGGTACAGCTAGCATGCAAGCATACTATAAATGCTACCTTTACCTACACACTGAAATCGATGTGCTGTAATTCATTTCGTAAAATATTGTACAGATTTTGAATAAGAATTTTTAATTCACGCTTAAACGTATGGTGGTAAAATTATTTTTTGCGGCTAAGTCTATATAACATGTCCATAATATCTTAAAACGTTATTAAAGTCTTACTGATTTTTGAAGATAATGTCTGAGATTTCTTTTTATTAATATTTTTAACTAATGTTAGAATATGTTTCTTTATCGAAAAAATAACAAAACATTTTTGAAACATAAAACAAACAATCTCGACAGCATGTAAAGGGTAACCCATTAATGTTTAAAAACATTAAATTTATATGTTTTATTATGTTTCAAATCTCAATACATCATTCAAGTGTTGAATTTGTATTAGCATAATCAGCATATACATAATTATATTTTTTAAACACTCAGAAAACTAACTACATCTATTGTCATATTGACCCTACATCTCCTTTAACACTAAGGGTAATTTCCTGTAAGCATCGAAACAATGCGGAAATGACATGTGCAAAAACTATTGGGATATACTGAAATACACAAATTTCACATAAATTTTGTGGTTGCTATGACAAATGGTTGAACAATTTTGTTCAATTTTTGTAAATAAAAAAGGCTAAAAATGTGAAAACTACATTAGATGTCCTTTTAGAGAATACAACAGACAGTTGTGTTTCTTGTTATGAGTAAGTATGGTGATAAAGATGCACTAAAAATTATAAAAAAATATATATCATTTACCAGTTATCCAGCAAAAGTGTAAAGTTCTGTGTGTATTGGGAACCCATTTTACCCTGTTTTGAAAGCTTTGGAAATTTCAACCCATATTCGTCAGATATGGCTGAAATACTTTAAAGGGACACTAGCTACGAGATATATAATGAAAGTGAAATAGTGAAATAATGATTCGCTTTTAACAGCCAGTATTGTTCAAATTTGTCAAAATAAGCTTAGAAATATTGATGATGAATTATTCACTTGCAAGATAATAATTCGACCTCATTGAATCCGTATTCATGTGAACTTCAATGTAACCCCTTAGCTAGAGATTGATAACGCATGAATTGTGCGTGTTTGGTTATTTAAAGGAAATTAATGTCAACCATGAAATGCAATGAAAGGTAAATAATTTGATTGACTGATTCAATCCACAAAAACTCATTCATATACAGGTAAAAACAATGATTCACATATATTTTTAATCCATATTATGAAATTAAACGGACCTAGAAAAATCTAGTTCACAATATATATATATATATATATATATATCTTCATTTATGTTTTACCGCTTATATGAACATCGGAGGTTCGGAGGTCAACTCGATAATTAATTAGATGGATCTAGACTAAAATACACACGAAACAATGATATATATTATTAACCCTATACCCTGTAAATTGTTTATTTTAGACTTTTTATAAATTGGATAAATGTTTTACATTGTTATAAATTATTTATGAGAATTTGAGTCAAATCGATGAACATGAATTTGACTGCTAGTGTCCCTTAAACCATTGCTTAATTCAAGAAAAATGTAACACAGTACACTTAACATGATGAATAGTAATTATGTTAAAGGAATTGTTTAGAGGTTTAAACGAATACAATATATGTTACATTTTAGCAGTAAGTAACCGTTCATAAGATACTATACATTTTGAGGAAATATTCTTATTATGAAAATATATATTATTGTTTTGAATTGGTTCATGTAAATGGAGATTCATTTCTTTAATCCTTACCGTTCATGTAAATGTATTTGATGAGATGATGAAAAGACATAAAACACATAGTGTTACTTTCATTTATAGACAGCAAAGTCATTACTACTACAAATTAATGTAATTGGTAAAAATTAGAAAAAAATAGAGAATTATTTGTTTTCTTTTTCAAGAAGAAAATGAGGAAATACAAAGACGAGATAGGGAACTGGAAGAAACTGTAGATCGACTGAAAGGTATGTTTTGAAAATACGGTCAGTTGTTTGGGGGTTTTGTTTGTATCGATTAAGGTCGTGTTCACACCAAACGCCATGTACAGTAAACATGTTAACAATTAGTTTCATGTAATGTGCACAGGTTTCACATTAAATTTGTTCACATCTATACACCTGGTTTCATTACCTGTATATGAGATTTGTTCACATTTGTTAACTATATGTCATTTAAATGCTCATTACATAAAATCAAATTCAAATTTTTCGGATAATTTTTCTGGAATTTATGAAAGCTATTCTGATGATTTGCAGTACTTTAATAAAAATAACACAGATGTCTTGATAACGCAATACAAAACGTAGGCTGCAACAGCGTGTTTACAGACGACGAAGAAGGATCGAGATATTTAGGATATAGCAGCAATGAAGGATTACTGCGTTTCTATCGTTTCTGTTTGTGTCAAATGGCATTTCTCCTCCAAGGAGTTTTTAGCAAAGACAAAGGAGTGACAACTGATGGAAACATGTTGTGAATGGGGCCTGGAATGAGACAAATTTTCAACATACTTGAAACTTTCCAAGGAAACATTCAGTTTTATGTGTTCTAGAACTAGAAATGCACATAGAGAAAAGAAACACGAACTTGAGGCAAAGCATAACTGTTAAAAAAGGGTTGCAATTAATTCATGGCTACTAGCCACAAATGCTGTATATAGGATATAGCAGCAATGAAGGATTACTGCGTTTCTATCGTTTCTGTTTGTGTCAAATGGCATTTCTCCTCCAAGGAGTTTTTAGCAAAGACAAAGGAGTGACAACTGATGGAAACATGTTGTGAATGGGGCCTGGAATGAGACAGAATTTCATTATATTTGAGACTTTCCAAGGAAACATTCAATTGTATGTGTTCTAGAACTAGAAATGCACATAGAGAAAAGAAACACGAACTTGAGGCAAAGCATAACTGTTAAGGTGTAATACCACCAAATCATAGTATGTCACATCCGGTTGCATACGAAAATAGGTCGAAAAAAAATATTCCCTTGAATTTGACAGTTGCAGGTAATTGATCCTACATTTCATTGCAGTAAAACATTTCTGGGTCATAAACATATATCTTGGGTATTTCAAAGCACCATTATTTTCTATAGAATATTTTGGAAACTTGAGGTTACATGGTACTAAAGCTTGTACACAGGTTAAAAAAAGGGGAAAATTTGATTGGTTAACTTCCAGTGATGGTTACTTTCTTATATGCAATGAAATGTTATGTGAAATTTTTTCTATAGTACTGGACAGGATAAAACTTTACTCATGCCAAGTATTTCTTTATTTGAAACAAAGATAAATTCTGCAAATTTTTTTGAAAAGTGCCAATATAACAAAGACTAATAGGGGAAAATCAATGGTGGTATTACACCTTAAAAAAGGGTTGCAATTACTTTATGGCTACTAGCCACAAATGCTGTATATAGGATATAGCAGCAATGAAGGATTACTGCGTTTCTATCGTTTCTGTTTGTGTCAAATGGCATTTCTCCTCCAAGGAGTATTTATCAAAGACAAAGGAGTGACAACTGATGGAAACATGTTGTGAATGGGGCCTGGAATGAGACATATTTTCATTATACTTGAGACTTTCCAAGGAAACATTCAATTGTATGTGTTCTAGAACTAGAAATGCACATAGAGAAAAGAAACACGAACTTGAGGCAAAGCATAACTGTTAAAAAAGGATTGCAATTACTTTATGGCGACTAGCCACAAATGCTGTATATAGAACAATTTCTAACCTATTTGCTGGTGGGCGCTCAACGTGTTGCACAATTACAAATGTAATTTGTATAATTATAACTGGCCATTTAATGCCGAAGCATAGATTGACAACCAATCCTTAAACAGATGTATGGTGAAAATTTATTTAATCGGAAAGTTTCTATTTTTTGTTTTAAACCAACGTAAAAGGTTTCAATTGAAACAGGGTTCTTTTATGCAGATAAGAGTGTGAAGAATTGAATTATAATGTCATGAGTTTATAGTAGTTTTACCTTCGAGAATTGTATACAGTATTGCCTTTATCTTCCTATCTACGCATTAACAGTTTGTTTTGATCCGACGTTATCGATATCTTGACAACGCCTATTGTTGAATGACGACAGAGGAGTGAAATAACCATTTTTTTTTTTTCACATGTGAAATTATCGGTTTTTATTTCACTGGGAAATCAATTTAATTCATTGCAACCTATGTAATAATTTTCATCATCTTGGTCAACTCTTGCTGTATCACAACCAGTATTCATCTCTCAAGGTATTTCGTTATTGCTGTCGTCAATATTTTCTGAATGTTAGAAAAGAAACATAGGATTATACAATATGCTTAGCATACATATACATGTATACAAGTAAATCTCGAATGATTATATACGCATACATTCGCATGGACGCAATATTTAAAAGAAAATATATTATAGCGAGTTGATGATTTTGTGAAACGTACATGTATTAATTGCGTTTTTCTCAATTTGTTAGTTTTGCTTTAATAAAACGGTCAGGAGTTTGAACCAAGAGCAATGACCCAATACTACCATGCAGGTACTTCTTAACAACTATGACTTTGGCTTTAAATAACAGTTCGTAGATTGCAAATTATTTTTTTTTCTATTTCTATCATAAAGTGCATTTTACCGGATCTGAGATACAAGCCAAACAATACAATTTACTGCACACTCTTTTTAGCAATGCATTTATGAGTGAATCATTGATTGACTAAAGACCAGTGGCAAATGTTTCATGCATAATTCAATTGATGTACTAATACTATTAGTAAAAGGTAATATTTTGAAGTTCTAACCCGAAGGTACCTTTCCTTATTCAATCAAGCAGAGAAGAACTGTATTTGCTTTTGTCCCCAACACTTCATACCATTGCTAAAAAAAGTGACAGAATTTAGGTAAAGCTCCACTCTCCTTGTTTGCCTTGTTAATTTTCTGTACTTATTTGTCATTGTATGAATTCTAACTACACACTGTTTCCGGGGTTCTTTCAATGACCTCGATTTTTAGTTGTGTTGAAATAAACGATGAGTTTTTCCTGATTGTGAAGTAAATGGTAACAACTGTTACACATTTATCGTTGAGATATTTATTTACTACCTATGAAATAACTTGATTTTGTCCAGCTATCGTTATCTGCGCAAAAGAGTTCTATTAATAAACATAATGACAATCAAATTAAAGTTTTGTTTGTTTAAACATTGTTTTTATTTATTTAATATCTCTTGTTTTATTTTTTTTATTTATAAGTAAGGAAAAAACCTTCTTTGCAAAGCTTAGGATGAAAATAACTGAAAAAGAAATTTTATTGTTTCCAGTAAGAGGTATCAAATATCAAGTGCCGTTTATACTTTCGACAAAATATATGTTTGAATAAATTCGCCGTTGAAAATTGATTTTATAATATCGTGTCTATAGGTTGCATTTCTGTAAATATTGACAATGCAATTTTCCATATGAACTTCTTTTTCAGCTAAACCTGTACCACTTTTACTATGTAGTTTTGACAAAAAATACATCCTAGAATTGCAAAATGAATTGAAAATTCATATGCACTTCTATTTTTTTTCAAAGGTAAAAATAAAGGGATGTGCGGCATATTTTCAACGTTTATATGCCCGAACTTTTAAGAGTTTAAACGTACATTAAAATTCTGTACTTCCCGCTACCTTGACTTTAGGTTTTCCACAGATTTCAATTTGAGCGCTATGAATATGTTTATTTACTGGTAACATTCCCAAGTTTTGTCTCTGCGAGATGAAACATAGAGATCATATATGGGAACCAGTACGTAAACAACATTAATTATCTATGAATATTATATATCTCCCCAAAAGAGGCGTGGTTTGAGAAACAGCTGTACAGAGTGCAACATTTAATAACATATATTCAAATAGAAATTTCTTGAAAAATACTTTTTCGCACAACCACAGTTGCTGCACTGGTTCTAACTTTTCTTTCACAGTACATTTTATAACCCCATTCCTGTTCCATGTTTTTTTTTTGAAGAATTTGAAAATAAGACTTAAATTAATGTAAGCTTACCCTATGTGCATATATCCTGACATAAAATGCATAGGGCCTGTATGAAACTATTCTGATAACAAATTGAAATCATTTCACAATACAATTAATGTAAGTTAGTAGTTATTTTTTACAACATTCAAGATTATAGAATGCATCCAACCCGGCCTCTGTCTCCAGTCCACATCTGCTGTATGTCTATTTATCTTTAAAAAATCACAATTTGTGCCTCAAATGGTCAGTGAAGAATTATTGTCACAATAATATTATCTCTTACTATATGTCTAACATAATTTGGTTAATATATGACTAAGACGTTTTTAAAGAAAGCCATATTTGCAAAACCTGTGTGTTTGAAGTTAACAGTTTGTTATATGAATTCACTGAAAGTTGTATAGAACTGACTTTCGGAATCTGATTTTTGCAAAAATTAAAAGCAAAGTTATTGTTTTCTATACAGAATATCTTTATAATAATAAAGTCAGAGCCTTCACAGGCTGAATTATCTGTTTTTTGATCGAAAGTTTAGGGATTTTTCAGTTTTTTTCACTCAATATAGGTTGCATTTCTGTCAATATCGACAATGCATTTTCCCCATAATAAATTATAAAAAAAAATTTACAACTTTGAATGGAATAAAAAAAAATTGAGAATGGAAAAGGGGAATGTGTCAAAGAGACAACAACCCGACCATATAGAGCAGACAACATGTTCATATGCACTACTATTTTGTTCAACGGTATGTTCAACGTTTATTATAACAGTTTAAACTTACACTAAAATTCTGTACTACCCCTACCTTGATTTTAGGTTTCCCACAGATTTCAATTTGACCGCTATGCATATGTATATTTACTGGTAACACTCTAGAGTTATGTCTTTACGAGATGAAACATAGAGATTATATCTGGGAACCAGTACGAAAACAAAAATTATTATCTATGAATTTTTCATATCTCCCCAAATGAGGCGTGGTGTGGGAAACAGCTGTATTTACAAAATGCAACCTATATATTTTCTTTTATTATCTGTTGCTAGGGTTTTTGGTTTAATTGATATTAAAACTAATGGAAAAAAAACTTTAGAGAGAAGCAGCAATTAATTTATGAAAATCAACAATGAATTTATTGAATATAATATTAGGATTATCTACAAACGATATCGGAATCAGTTTTTTTTACATTTATTTTGAGTGTAAAAAAAATGTTATGGAGACTTTACATTTTGTACGTTTCCTATTTGTTTTGTGTGATTCATACATGTATCTTGAGTAATACGACTTCGGTTTTTGAGTTAACTTTGTGGTTCACAGTTTTTTTCTATGTTATATGTGTTTTAGTGTGACTGCTCATTTTATTGTTCCTTTTACGTATGACTATTGTATCGTCTGTTTTTTTTTTTAACGTGTTGTTTTCGTACATATCTTCCTCTCTTTATTTTACGTATTGATAATAGGAGTAAAATGCAGGTTAAATAAATAAATGTTTTTTTAACAGAAAAGACTGCTTATAATTTAATTTTGACACAATTTAACACATTCGAAGAAGAGATAAAAACTGCAAAAATTATAAACTATTTCTTTTATTAGAGAATGAAGACTTACACAAGAACCGTATGGGAGAACTTGAAAGCAAAATGACCCGACTGAAAGTGGCAAACGGTATGTTTATATAATTTGTTTTTACATTTTTACTTCCCCTTTCTGGCACTAAGGGTGAAATGAGATTCATAAGAATCAAATGAATAATGCCGAACTATTCGACTTATGTAATTGCATTAACTGTTAAAACAATAAGCTTGCTGTCAATTCAGTACTGGTTCATTATGTGTTGTCACTGAACAGTCTAAGCATAGTCTGATCATATCCAAAATGACTGTGAATAAGTCTTAAAGATGACAGAAAGACTAAAAATGACAGAATAATTTGTTGTTCAGTTTTTCAAGAATTTCTCAGAACAACATGGAAGTTGTAGGTCGACATTGCTATAATGTAAGTGCTTGTTTGAGTACAAAAGAGACATTTGAACTCATAAGTCGAAAATAAACTGAAAATGTCATGATATAAAGGAAAAAAGACCAAAAAGAAAAACAAGAGTATACAAATCAAAACAAAGAAAACTACAGACTGAGCAAAATGAACCACACCAAAAAAAACCGAGTATAATCTCGAGTGCTCCGGAAGAGTTAGCAGATACTGCTCCACATTTGGCACATTTGTTTTAATCGTGTTTGTTCAAACCCGCTATAGTCTAATTCGATTATGTTGCATTTGGGAAAAAGGAGATCCGGATTATGGTACCAACGTTGTCATCTGTGAAACATATATTCCATTACAATCAACAAACTTGTGATGTGATCCGTAAAATGTTCGTAGGGATTATTTTTAACTTCATCACTTAGAACTCTTGGTTAAATAGCTTCCTTGTGAGCATCACTCCTCTATCCAGGAAATCATTTTGGGAAAAACAAATGCTGGAATTTGTATAAATTGGGAGATGAATAAGTGACATGTAGGATTTAATATTTCACTTTTTTTTCTGCTGTAGATATGTGTTCCTAGAATATTTGTAATCGAGAAAACCATATTAAAAGCCAAATGTTTATAATACATGTACAAATAATATATTCGTACATGAAATACATTGTACATGCAATGCGCAATTGTTAACAACACACAGTTTAACCAATATGCAAAACAGGTAATACAGTTACTACTTATGTAGCTTTAATCAATTTTTCTGTTTTGCTTTAAATTACATAAATTATGGGAAAGAGATGAAGAGTATTAAATGTGTGTTTCAGAAGCGAATAAAGAATTACAAACAAAAAATAGGGAACTAGCTGAGGCAGTGAACCGACTAAAAGGTGCGTTTTCTTATTTTTATATGCTTGCAGGTGAAAATTTTGTAAATGGACAAATACATGTACTCGTTTATTGATTCAGAAATTTGGAAATGATGATCTATTTATTTTCACTGAACTTTCTTTTGCTTACTACTTTGAGTGATGTAGAAAATTGCGTCATGTATTTTTTAATAACGTAAGTTGAATTTATTCAACATTTGTTACAGGAAAGAATGAAGTCCTTCGAAAGAATATTAAAGAACAACCGGTAGACAGATTTAACCAGCTGGCGAAAAGTATGTTTGTTTTCATTAAAAACAATGCATTCTGAAAATTTGCAGTTTTGACTTGAATAAAAAAATGTTCAATTACGATATTTGTTATTGCAGTTTGAAAGTTATCATTGAACTGTAAATCTACAAACGTAAACGGCGCGATAATCATTCTAATTAAGAAAACTATTACAAAAAAGTTGTGCATTGCTTTTTGCGCCAAAATAATATATATATATTACAGAATGAAAAAATAAACCAGGAACATACAATGATCAAATAAAGAATTGCCATCTTCATTTACATGCAGTAAATGTAATGTTTTATCTAGCTACACTGTACACTGGTTTGTCAGGTTTTGTTGAAGAAGTTTAGTCATGGTTAGTAATTACCGGTATCGTGTGTACAAATTAAAGATGTATTTGTGTTCAATTTTATCATGATTGTTATTATATAAATACAAAAATGAATCAATGCACATCTAATGTCTAATTAATTTATTTTTGACTTATTATTCTTAGTATCAGACAAAGAAGAAGACACGAAACTTGAGGATAAAAAAATATTTTTAATGGTGATATCAATTGTTCCATTGCCAAAAGATCTTAAAGATGGTACTTTTTATCTTATTGTTGTTTATTTGCTACATATCTCACATAATACATTTTTTTAAAACAATAAATTGTGGCTTATCTGTCCTTAAATATATATAGAAAGATTTATCTTCCATGATGTTAATTTATTGTATTTCCTTAGTTATAACTACAAAATCAACTAAGAACGCGATGCTTAATTTTTGTTACGGGTTTGTCAAATATTAGTTCATTTGAATGAAGGACATAAGTGTTGAAGATTTATGAGACAGCAAAACAACGTAGTAATTGAAATTTCTAGAGGGTTTCGACAATGGACAAGTGTATACAAAGTATAAAGCTCAATATCGCAATTGAACGGTACAACCATAACAAGTACAAAATGTAAGTCTCTACCGTAAGACAGACCTTTATCACTACATACAAATGGAAATGAAATAAGAACAACATATACAGTTACACCGAGATTTGTCGAAAAGCAATCTTATTAAACATAAAAAAATCTTTATTTTCCGTTCATAATCCTGTTCATATATTGCATCGAAATATCTAAAACAGATGAATTTATATTATTTTCATTTAATTTGCTTTATATCTTTAGCAAATAAAGGCAAAGTAACAGAACTTTCAAGATTTTTGGAAAAGAACTATGGTATTAGAGATTTAAGTTTCATGAGTTTTGAGACAGAAATAACACAATTTGCTTTTAAAATACAAATTTTGACTTCTATTGTCGTTTTTATGTAAGATGTTTTTGTCTTGGTTTAAGCATGATATCGATCGATTAACACAAACACATCAGTGCACTCTGTTACCAGTCCTAATTATTGGCCTGTTGCAGACGGTTGTACGCGGTCGTTGTCATAAAGAAATGATACAATAGCCTATCAATTTGCTAAAGATTAATCCATGATTGTTTGCGATGATTCTTACATCTATTTTAAGTTACAAACAAATTCAGTCAGCGAAAACCGGTATATTTTAGTTATGCGTTTGAAGAGGATATTTATAAAAAATGGAATTTAATAGGGTTTTTCATGGATGAGACAGAAACTCAACGAGAGCCACAACATTTAAGATATTTCGGGGTAAACAATCAGGGGCCGTGTCAATAAAAGTATCCTACGATATTTAAGGATGGCCTTAGGACATGTCTGAGACATGCCTTATGAAGTTAAACAAAGCTATCTTAGGACAGTCCTAACTACAGTTGTCATAGGACCATCCTAACAAATTTATTTAATTGATAAACATATGTATAGATTTCAAGGAAATATATCTTGGTGTATTTCAGTAAATATGTAAAGGTTGTATCATTATGAAAAAAAAATTAACGATTTTTTTGTAGCATAATACTAATAGATACGTTATTATAGACTTTTGAAAATTATAAATGCATTTCATACAACACAAAACTATATAGTCCCAGCACTTTGTTAGAAGCGATAATCGTGCTTTAATTTTATCTATACAAACTAGAGTTTTTTCATGAGGTCCACTAGATTTCATTACATTTATTGACTCAGCCTTAGCTAAAAAAAAGGCCTGGTTTTCGAAAGTATCTTATGACTAAGTCGACATGTCTAATGATGGTCTTATGACATGTCATAATCGTAAGATATGTTTTCGAAAGTGTCCCAAGTTACGATATGTCATAACTTTTGTCGTAAACTTAAGACGCCTGGCGACATGACTTATGATGGTCTTAATATTATTACTAAAATTTTTTACTTTAATTTTAAGATTAATTTTCATGTATAAATTCATGTTTATTACAATACGAATGATAGTTGTGTTGCTCAGTGTTCAAAAAAGGGCAGCACGAATTATTCTAATTGAGCGAAATAATATGATGTCGTCAAACATACTTTTTGGAGAGCTACGATTGATACCCATTTCATATGATTTTGTATAAAGAAAAGCAATTTGTGTTCCTAAAACACTTCACCAAATGAATCCGGAATCTCAATGTCTTTATATATGTGTAAGTTCTAGAACACTCAGACAAAGTTCTTGCAATTAACTCAAATTGAAGACTAGAAACGCTCTTTGTTGATATCTAGAAGTATTTTATGGATCAAATATGTCTACGAATTCAAAATAATGTAACATAATCGAATCTTTAACATATGTTAAAGAATATTCTGTTTAATTAGTTTAATTCTAATAACAATATAATAGTTTAATATTGTACAAATGTTGTATTAGTATTTTTATTATTGACACTATGCCATATTTGTTTTTTATTTGATATAGGACATCGTTACTTTTAAGACTATCCTAAGACCATCATAAGACACCTATTTATATATCATAACTTTAGGACAATATTTAGGACAAATCGTATTTTAGGAGACTTTCGATAACTTGACTTAAAACTAAGACCATCCTAAGACACGTCCTAGTCCTAGCACAGCTTCGTTGACACGGCCTCAGCTTCATAAATAGACCAATGTTCGTTTAGGGATAAACAATCAGCTTCATAAATTGACCAATGTTCGTATACCAGTTTTTCTTGGATTTTGATATTTTAGACTAAGCTTTGGATAACTGATTGGTTTTTATATATTCTTTTTAAATAAGGCATAATACCTTAAATCTAAAGTATATTTTGTGTGAAATAGATGTTTTCAAACACAATTCGTCTTTCTAATTTAAAATGTTAAAATGGCAAGTTTACTTTTAAACTAATAAAAAATTTAATTCGATAACATCAAATAATTTGATTCACTTTTACCACATATTTTTACGTTTCTACGACACTGTATCTACTTTATGTACAAAATATAACAATAAAAAAAGCGACAAGAAAAACAGTGAAATTATTCAAATTTTGTTTATGTTTTGTTGGTCTTTTATAAAAAAAATGGCTTTAATTATCCAAAGAATAATGATAAATTACTGTGTTACTCTTCCATTTTTATGACTATCTAAAGAGTAAGACTAAACAGATGCATAAAAATTAGCAGAGAAATTGATGACTGCGAAAATGAGTTAGTAATGATCCTTAAAAAATGCCAAAATCGATATGATTTTTAAAGTTCCATTATGAACCCTTTAATACTAAACGGTATATTTTCAAACTGTAGCAAAACAAAAAAATATAAAGGTTACCTTCCTACACGTTATAATAATAAACTGAAAACGAGAAAAGTATAATATATCCGATAACGTTCTTCTTTTTAGAACGTTATTAAAAGTCAAACAATATTCCAGTTTGTAATTGTAACATCTAAAAACAATATGCAACAATTATGCCAATGTGTAAGTGGTGCAGATCTATTCACTTTACCTTTCAAAAAAAAAAAAGGAAATAATAAGTGCATTGAATGCTTGTAAATGAATTGCAGTTCAAACCCAACTGCTACAATTTATGTTAATGATAGGTGTAAACATATGTTGTAAAGTTCAATCCGACAGACACAAATTATCTAGGTCCTTATATATTGATTTGATTGTTGGTAGCTTAAAGTTCAGTGACAACGAACTTGGTTTGTAAATAAATGAAAATGATTTTATGTCATCAATCGCTTCAAACAGGTATTCTTGTTTATTATTTTACCTATAGAAATTGTTCATGATATGCAAGCAACAATAGGTAATGAAGTGTAAAAAGTGTACAGAAAAAGTATATTTATATTTTTAGAATAATGTGTATCTAATATAACCGATTCTGATTACCGATTACACAATCTTATTTAAATACTTATACTTATAGTGTTATGTAGATTTGTCTATCAAAATTGTGAAGATTGGTAGCAAGATATATGAAAAACATCTACCAGCTAACGCAATTACGGAACTTTTTATGATGCGTCATAATATAATATTGAACATTTCTATGTTTGTCGTTCTTTCGATCAACCGATTATTCTCCTTGGATAGTATGTCATTGGCATCAATGTTATTTCTCTTACCGAGAATAAAAGAAAATATGAAAAGATTGCGCCAAGGATGTGCTTTTAAAATGAGCAAAACAGTTTTCTTGCTTCCAAACCTTTTGTGGCTAGGGTGAAATTAATTAGAATCATACACAAGATGAAACGTCGTACGGATGAATTGCATTCCTCTCTCAAAATAAGCATATTTCATTCATAATTTTGACCAACTGTTTTTATTTCAAATCAATGAGGTGAAAGACACATGACCTACCTTTACCTTAGAATAATAGCATTATGTCAAACAAAAGATCAGAAATATACAAATTTAAGAGTCATAAAGAATATTTGAAGTTAACAAAAGCAACTAAAGGGAACTTTGATTGCTGAAAGGTAATCATGCCGCCCTATTTATGACGATTAAATATGTATGTTGAAATAACTTGGTATTTTAAAAATGATATTAATGTATTTGACAGGATCGAACTACACAAATAATTTTATGATAACAGTCAATGACAAATATAACAGAGGATTTTTTGAAACGACATTTGAAGGTAATATACTTTAATCAATTCAGATTTAAGACCAAGTATAAAGAGGATTTACATTAACTTCAAATAGATGGGTACAGGACAACACAGAACTCTGATTTTTGAACTTGAACAAACATATTTTTTTTTTAGTCTATTTTTAAAGATAAAAAATATACCAATTAACCATTATTATTCTGTTGCTACTGTATAGACAAATTTCTTCCAGTCAACTAAAATCGGTTAACTCTCAGACTGTTTGAAGTGTGTTTAGCAGCTGTAATTTATCTTTGCAAGACAGTCAAAACGGAATTGACTATCAAGTCATAAAACAGTTTTAATGTATGGATATGTCCAAGGACGTTAAGATGAATTGCTGTTTCAGATATTCTATGTACATGTATAAGTTTCTCCTCTAATACATACATCAAGCAAAATGCAATTTTGAAGTGTTAGCAAGTGGACATTGACATTGTTCTGGATTAAATTAACGGTTATTGTGTATGTTGAACAAGTGCATAAATGGAAAATTATATCAAACAGTTATTGCGCTTTTAAAACTCATCTTGCTAAGTCGAAGACTTTTTTTATTGTAAGAGTTATCTCCCCAAAAACTGTTTTCCTGTTTGTCTCTAGCTTGTTTTTGTATTTTCTGTCTGATACTTTTAAAGATATATATATATATATATATATAACTAGTGCCAAATGTTTGCTTAGTTGTGATAAAGATATAATACATTTTGTCTAAAACGATCCAATAACATCTTATTGGAGTTTTTGCCCCTAAAATGCTTTATTTTAAAGTAAATTCTCATAGATCTATGATCGTAGTTATCAAAGGTACCAGGCGTTTGACACGCAAGACGCGCGTTTCGACTACACAAGACTCGTCAGTGACGCTCAGATCAAAATAGTTTGAAAGCCAAAACAAGTACAAAGTTGAAGAGCATTGAGGACCCAAAATTCCAAAAAGTTGTGCCAAATACGGCTACGGTAATCTATGCCTGAGATAAGAAAATCCTTAGTATTTTGAATAATTCATACATTTGCAAACAGTAAATTTATAAAAATGACCATATGATTCATATTCATGTCAACACCGAAGTGCTGACTACTGGTCTGGCGATACCCTCGGGAACGAAACGTCCACCAGCAATGGCATCGACCCAGTGGTGTAAACAGTTATCAAAGTTATGAGGCCTTTTTCAAAATGTTGGGTGACATATGACCTTAAAAATATCAGCTTGAAGTGACCATGAAGAAGTCAAATTTGCACATACCTTTTGGAAATTATCTAGAAACCATATATTTTTTAAAACGGCATACATGAACCTATCATTTCAGACAGGAAGTGACATTTTATAAACCTGAAGTAGAAAATTATCTTGTATAACAGGCATAAGTATACACAAACTTTATATATTTGTAATCTTTGTAAATTTGGCTGTTATTTGAGACCAAAAGGAACGTTTAATTTCCAAACAGGGAGTAGCCAATTATCTCTCTTGTAACAGGCATAAGTATACACCAACAATTTATTTTTGTAATCAGTGTAAACACAGCTATTCTTTCAGACCGGACGTGACATTTTATTAACCGGAAGTTGACAATTATTTCCCTTGCTATTGGGATATAGAGACAACTCCGCCTTCACGGTGTCCAGTGCTCTAAACCATTCTGCCACTTACACTGCACTAATATACATATATATATATATATGAATATCAATTTACAATAAAGTATCTGTACTAAGGTAATAAAACGAGTAAATTAGTACTAATTACAATTTACAAAATGACTTTTTTTAATGAACAGACTGTGTACAATATTATTAATGTTCATATTTCTCAGAACCATACTTGTCATTTAAACTTTCAGCTCAACCAAAGTCTACGATCTATCTCTATAAACTGGAAAAGGGGCGTGGTTAAATCCATAGATAAAAGGGATATAGTTTATAAAGAGTTAAATAATTAAATAACTGATGCATCGTACAATCGAGTCACTGATTTTTAAAACGCATGTTTGCTATCAAAAATACTTATCTATAATTGTCATTATACATTTCAAAGTTTAAATGGTGTTGTTGCCCACAGTGTATTTATAGCTAATATACATAAATACATGGTATATTCAATGTCGGTTTTTTTTTAGACCAGAAAGATTCATTAGATAAGGGGACTGTCGAATGCTTAAATAACAAAGTAGGAGAACCAGAATGGAAATTGGGTATGTTTGCATTAAAAAAACTTCTTACAGTTTTGATTTTTTTTAATTTTTCAACTCTTAGAGTAATTAATTAGTAACAATAATCCAAGAATATTAAAGATACAACAAATGCAATGTTTAATATTGCTATTTAACATTTTGAACCTGTAAGGCCTATAGAAATAGCCTCCAAACTATAAAAGTACAAAACTTCAAGTCCTATGTATTGTAGCTGGTTTTATTATTTTCTAATTATACAAGGGAACTGTTTTCTTTAATTGTTTTCTTAGGTTTCAGTTTTGATAACTGTACTTTTAAGACTGTTTATTTTTAACACCACTAAAATTGTCAAATATGATAATAATATTTTTTTTTTGTATAATTTGCAGAAAATTTTCATGTTCATATTTGGTGAAATTTACAGCTTAATTTGATTTTGTGCTTAAACATTTTATTACAACAGAATGTATTTCTTCAAAAGACTTTCAACCGGAAAATATAATTGTAAAGAATATTTGACGTTTGTTTGTTTTCAAGGCAACTACATGCTTGTATGAAAAAAATTACGAATATGAATATATATTAATGTGTGTTAAGACGACGAGTAAATGCATTTATGTCTTATCAGATGTGACTAGTCTTGAAAAAATCATAAAATGAATTACAACCTTATAAAAAACGGAAGAAAAAAGGCATTACTCGACCAACGAAAGTTATATATTTATACAGCAAAATTTTGTAAGATCGTCTACGGCGTGAGACACAGTTTAGACAGTGTTTCCACGATGTCAAATATGCACAGGTTCAAATTTGTATGATGGGAGAACAATTATGTGAGATCTAACATTGTTTGGTTCAATTACAGATAAGTGCAGGATTATAAGGAATAGTCAACAACTGCTCTTTTGGTTTTCTTATTCCGTGCACCAGTACTTGTCATGTTACTAATAACTGAAAAATTAGCTATGATTGTGTATTAAGTCGTTTTCTTCGTAAATTGCATTTTAACTTTTGGACTATTTCCATAAATAATGGAATATCATAACAGATCAAACCCATGGGCTCAAAAGGGAAGACACCGGACTCGCGTTTCGACTATATTAAACATTTAAATGATACACCCTCGATTGTTGCCGGATTTTTTTTTTTTGCTCTATTAGTCCTTTTTGCACTATGTTCTTTTATCGGGAAATACACAATTTTTTGGATTTTTTCATTATTTTGTAATCATATTCATGTAACGTCACATGTACCTGTTTGGCAGTTTCAAATATCGATCTATTGAAATGATCTTATATAGATGCCATGAGTAGAATGATGTTTTCAGTCCTCTTTTCTGGATTTTCAAAATGCTTGAATACGTAAAAAGCTGAAACAGTTTGAGAATGGTGTTCTTGCTATTATTTTTAATTTGAGAATGCTTTTATATACATGCTAAGGTAACGATCATATTTAAGTGTCATTAACTGTACCGAACATTAAATAAAAGCTTTTTAAGATATTCTGGGTTGATCTCTTTCAGGACGCACACACATAAAAGTATGAAAGACAAAGCTGTAGTCTGCTATTGAGCTTCTTTGAAAAATCTCTTACATTATTCTATTGATTCAATTTGTTTTTTTTTCAGTAACTTTAACGATCTATTTGCCTTTTTAAATTGCGACTTGAAATGTTTGCAAATATTTTGTTAGTGATCAACTATTCAATTCAGTTTATTCATAGGGTAATTTGTATCTCGTGAATTCCTTTGTATGGTTAGAAAACACAAATGTAAGAATTCAACCCAAATACAGAATTCTTTAACAAGAACTTGTTGAAACCCTAATATCTGCTTTTGCGCGAAAATCCATTTTTTTTATTTTATTTCTTTTTTTAATATGAATGATTTAATTTGCTATCTTTAAACATAAATAACCAAAAACTAGCAAAATCTTGCTATCCTCGCGACATTTGATTAAACTTTTCAAACATACGTACGCTTTTACCAGAGTATTAATGTGTGTTAAGATTGAAAATGATCACATATACAAATACTAGTATGTTGATAAGGGGCACCAATAAACCATGCATCAGTCTACATAAGACTCATCGGTGACGCTCAGAACAAAACAGTTATCTTTTGTAAGTTTTAAGGGTCAGCTGGAGCCGGTCTCTGGTGCGATATTTTATTGCTACGTTGAAGACTTATTGGTGTACTGCGTCTGGTATCTGCTTAATGGTCATTAAAATGTACTTATAATTGTATCTTTTGTAAGTTCTCAGAAATATGGGAGTCATTCTCGCTCTTCAGATTGTTTCACCACTTTCTGAATAGTTCAAAAATATTCTTTTATATATGGTTAACTAATTTTTGTTGCGTAATGAGCAACATTCACAATCCCACATTCAATTGAACACACTACACTCAACATGCTCAAGATAGTGCATTTAAAACACTATCCAATCAAGAATGAACCAGTGTGCCCTGGTAAATTTAAAAAGAACATTAGTTCAACTTAATTGTTCAATAGCAGATATTTGATGTTCATCTTTCTATTATATTTATACAACCGATCGATGCAGAAAATATTAAATTATAAAATATCTTTTTATCAAATTAGTTAACAGAATATAATATATTACTTATAAATCTACATACCGTGCTCATCACGCAACAAAAAAATAGCTTTAAACTTAGATATTTACACATCAAGACGTGTATATACAACATAAAAACGCCGGAAATAACAAATTTCCTTTGGAGCATCATGCATCTGCTACCAAAAGCATATATAATACTCTTGTAAATTTCATTTTGTAACAAACATGTATAACGCATGCATCACGACCATATCAGTTTCGACTTATCTGTACATGTACGACAGAATATCAACACATTCCGATATTTAAATTTGAACGTATATTAAGGTGTAATACCACCAAATCATATTACGTCACATCCGGTTGCATACGGAAATAGGTCGAAAAAAATATTCCCTTAATTTTGACAGTTCTAGGTAATTAATCCTATATTTCATTGCAGTACAACATTTCTGGGTCATAACGTATATCTTTTGTATTTCAAAGCACAATTATTTTCTTATTTGGGGTTTCTGTAGAATATTTTGGAAACAGGTAAAAAAAGAGGTGAACATTTGATTGGTTAACTTCCAGTGATGGTTCTTTTCTTATATGCAATGAAATGAAATGTGATTTTTTTTTCTATAGTAGGTTCTACTGGACAGGATAAAACTTTACTCATGCGCAGTATTTCTTTATTTGAAACAAAAATAAATTCTGCACAATTTTTTGAAAAGTGCAAATTTAACAAAGACAAAATTTAGTCTTAGATAACATAATTTTTTCTTATTAGTAGTTAGTTGCTTTGAACTAGCTGTCAGTAGCTTCGAGTACCCTCAGATTAGTACTTAGTGTCTTTTTGTTGTTGGGATATACAAGTACCCAGCTACGTCCACTCTGTGTTTTTGTTAGATGTATGTTATTTGTATCCATCTGATGAGTTAAGCCTTTTTCAATTGATTTTTATAGTTTGTTCTTATGTTTTACTGTTACACCATTGTCCCAGGATAAGGGGAGGGTTGGGATCCCGCTTACATGTTTAACCCCGTCACATTCTGTATGTATGTGCCTGTCCCAAGTAAGGAGCCTGTAATTCAGTGGTTGTCGTTTGTTGATGTGTTACATATTTGTTTTTCGTTCATTTCTTGTACATAAATTAGGCCGTTAGTTTTCTCGTTTGAATTGTTTTACATTTGTCATTTCGGGGCCTTTTTAGCTGACTTTTTTGTTGAAGGCCGTACGGTGACCTATAGTTGTTAATTTCTGTGTCATTTGGTCTCTTGTGGCGAGTTGTCTCATTTGCAATCATACCTCACCTTCTTATTTATCTAATAGGGGAAAATCAATGGTGGTATTACACCTTAAGAGCAATTAATTGATGGACTTTGATCTTTCTGTAGATTTGTTCAGAGAAATTAACGGATATGAATATGAGGAAATGGAAAACAGCTGGTATTTTGGAGAAGAGGAACAAAACAAGGTTTTATCTCGAAAGAATATGTGAAAAAACGATAAATAAAACAAATTAGGTAGTGCTAGTAGGTGTACAAGTTTATTTTTCGCGTCATATCTGAATATGTTGAACCCATGGAGTATATGACAGTGATACCTTTTATTTGATATATTGTTTTAGATCGTTTAGCAACATTTATATACATATTATAAAAAAGGCCATTAAGACACGAAAATGTTGGAACACTGCCACATTTACATTGTTACAAAAGTATCATTATTAGTACTAGTATTAGTGTATTCGCATTTACAAGAAATGTTATTTATTGCAATGACATATTATACAGGCAACTATCCACCAACATTGTGTTCCTAAACTATTTCTTTTATTGTTAATTGCAATGACATTGTCTGTCATATTTAATTTCATAATAAGGGAGAAGGTTTGCGAAGACAGCTTCAGGTCTTTGAAAACGTAAATATTAAGTTACTTAACAGCATTTGTCAGATCTTCACATGTTGTTGATTGCATATATGAATTAATTACAGTGTAGTTGATATTATTAAATTGTATGATCTCATCATATATTGTTGTTTAAATGTATATAACTTAAAAAGAATAAAGTTTTTACTAGTTTGCAATTTCATGTTTTACATTATGGCTCTCTTCATATGTACCCCGTAACTTATAGATTTATCAGAGAGACATATGAAAATATCCAGCCAAGTATACATTGTAACTTCTAGCGAAAAATTCAAAACAATATTTATTTCCCCATCCCATTACATATATACAGTGTTGTTCTTTGTTATTCGTGGACTAATAAAGGCAACAGTAGTGTACCGCTGTTCGAAATTCATAAATCGATTGTGAAAAAACAAATCCGGGTTACAAACTAAAACTGAAGGTAACACATCAAATATAAGAGGAGAACAACGATACAACAGAAACACTAAAATGAATACACACAGAAACGAACTATAAGATAACAATAGCCATTTTCCTGACTTGGTACAGGACATTTTAAGAAAAAATGGTGGGTTGAACCTGGTTGTGTGGCTAGCCAACCTCCCGCTTTAGTGGCAATGTTAAATATAACACTAAAATGACAACATAACATGACAGGACTACAATACTAAAAAATTTGAAGAGCATACAGGACAGAGAAACACACAAATAAACAATATAATAGAATATTACGACAAGCTTATAGTTATTAAAGGTACCAAGCTTATAATTTAATACGCCAGACGCGTGTTTCGTCTACACAAGACTCATCAGTGACGCTCAGATCAAAATAGCAAAGAAACCCAAACAAAGATGAAGAGCATTGATGACCCAAAATTCAAAAAAATGTGCCAAATACGGCTAAGGTAATCTATAACTGGGATAAGAAAATCATTAGTATTTCGAAAAAATGACCATTTAATTGATATTCATGTCAACACCGTGCTGACTAATGGGCTGGTGATACCCTCGGGGACGAAACGTCCACCAGTAGTGTTATCGACCCAGTGGTGCAAATAGTTATCAAAGGTAATCAGCTGTTAATTGTCTCTACGATTCTCTAGATCTCCACCGTAGCGTATCATATTCTCATATATCGGATTTCTATGAGATTGCAAGTTGTTTAGAAGATGAATGCACATGTCCACACTCGGACCCTGTATCCTATCCTGTTGAACCGCTTAGTCTTTAGTTTTCTATGTTGTGTCATCTGTACTATAAGTTGTCTGTTTGTCTTTTTATTTTTGGCCATGGCGTTGTCAGTTTGTTTTCGATTTATGAGTTTGACTGTCCCTCTGGTATCTTTCGTCCCTCTTTTAAGTTAAACGTAATACAAAACAAGAAACAAGATAAACCTGTTTCATCTGTACGTAACTCTTATTTTATGAATTCATCAACATTGTACAGAAATAGTAATAGTATCATTAATTATATAATCATCCCTTTTAACATTCAGTTAATTAGGTTATTGACATGATTATTCAATTTTGATTCATGAATAACCCGTGTATTCCGTATAGATTTTCTCTATATGTGTTTTCCAAATCTTCCCATCTCTTCATAGAGATAGTTTACCTAGTATCTTTTGATATTTTATTGAAATTTTCATTTTTAGGTAGTGCATTGAAAGTTTTGTGAGATGCAATTTTAATACATGTCTCCAAGTATTCTGATAATCCAAAAAACTCTGCCTCTATAATACTATCTATTGCTTGTTCAGATGTCAAAGAATCAGCCATTTCTGTGGAATATTCTGCCAATGATGCATCTATTCTTGTTAAAGTTTTTTCGGTTTGATATTCGTGTGCTATTGGCAAAATAAGATGAGCGTCCGTTTCTGAAACAAATTTAAGAAGAAATTATCATATAGTTTCGGAAAAAAAAACATATTGATATAAAGTAATTGAACACAATAACACAAATAAGGTCACAGTAGTTTATAAAAGATTGATTCCACGAGAAGCAACAAATCAAGGTATAAAACAACAAACTGAAGGAACCAAGATAAAAAAATAGCTACATCGGTTACTCGAAGGGATAAACATATATTGCTTTGTATGCCTCACCAACCACGCAAATCCACACTCAGTCAAACGATCACATTTGTAATTAAATAAATGTGAATGTGTTCATGAAGACTTTTTAACGAAACGTGAATCAATTTACACAATTTGACGAATATACATATCTGAAAGGCAACTAATTAAGGTGTCTAATCACGATTACTAAAATTTGAACATGATTTAAAATAATCTCTAACAAACTTTGTTTAATATTCCTAGCACTTCTATTATTAAACGCAATCAATTTAAAATCGATTTAAAACTATAGTTATATGTGTGCGCCGTGGTAATATAAATACATTATTGAACGAGCGATGACCTCTCTCAATGAAAGAAGCTACAAACAATAGGATATAACAAAATATCTATCATATATACAACTATATATAACCGTCCTAAATCATAAACATGAAATTAAACAAACCAATTAAAATTTGGCGCTACAGGCAGCATAGAACTACTAAAACAAAAAATATACTTTGATAATCAATAATAAGTAAAATACATATCGAAATAAGAGATTACATTCACATGATTCAAGCATTTATGGAAGCATTTGCACTGACAACAGAGTACAGAAATATTAATGTGACTTCAAATAACTTTGACCCTGTTTTTTGAATAACAGTTGAGAAGACAGTTGACTGCCTGGGAACCGGTTATATTCAGGACTGCTTGACGTTCTGTGAATGTTGTACCTATTCTGAAAGAATATCCACTGGACTTATCCGCATTGAGTCCTGAGTATGACACTTATCTATAAATAGTACTCTTTCTAATGCTTAGTTGCTATTGCCAACCATTAATTAATGTTACCCGTTTTTGGAAGGTCACGTATTTAAATATTGACTGTTTATATTGAAAAAATGGCACAATTGGTTTTTCAAATCTTAAATGATTACCACTTGACGAAAATTGTCAGTTTGTTTATACATTTAAACGTAAAATAACTTGACATTAAGACACTCATTCTACATCATCGTCGGTTAGGTTAAAAGATGGGTCTAAACACTGTATCACAATGGAATTGGATATTTTCTTATGCATTCCGATTAAATTATGACCCCATAACATCGCAGTAATTACTATGAAATCAGCGATTTTCTACATAAACTCTGAATACTACGGTTGTCGCAAAATCAGCAAATAAATCAAAATTAGAAGTAGTTACTATAATGTCATATATAACGATTGAACGATATGAAAGATCGCCCTGGAACAATTACTCTCAAAGCAAAATTTATATGGCCTAAAAAACTTAACATTTTTATCAATGCGGCATAATTCATTTGCGGGTAAACTTGCTTCCACGATAACAGTATCTAAACAAATACCCAATCATTTATACCCGATAGCTTGTCCCAAAGTTTATATGCTACAATATACAACTATGGTCCGCTGAGGAGATGGATATCTAAAATGGTAAACACGAGTAAGGGTTATTCCAACAAGTCTTTAACCGACTCAATGGGCCATAATTGTTTTATTACACCAAACGAACATATTACTTTTAAAAATAAAATATTGTAACAGATTGTCAAAATACTTACGTTAGAAAACTATTTTGTGTTTATTGACATTTCGCGTATTTAAAACGAAGGGTTATTCTTTCAGTAAAATATAGATGGCCCTGAATAGGGCCGTTTACAAGAGATATTATTATATTTTACATATATTTCAAACAATTCTATTGGATAAAACGTTATCACGTGACATGGAATAATTCAGTTAATGTTCATTCAATTGCAAGGAAGAACGAATAACCCTAAAAATTTACACCAGCGTTGAATAACCCTATTATTCACCGGCGAATAACCTTTTTAGTTTGTTGATTTGTACCCATGAAAATGACGTCACAGACGTAAATAAACAAAATGGCAACGTTCAAGTTACAGGAAGCCCATTGATCGAGAGAAGAGGAAATAAGGCTTTTGACGTGCATCTTGTGCCGATGATATCTCTAATAACGGTCCTTTTCAGGGCCATCAATATTTTACAAAAAGAATCTACCTTTGTTGTACATACGAGAATTCTACGACACAAATTACATGTATTGTTGAACGTCAACTTGTGTTTGTTACTGACTCAAGTAAGGGTAAGTGCTATTGCAATTATTCAAAATGCCCTTCCACTATTAGTTCGGTATAATAAAACAATTGTAGCCCCTTAGAAGCGATGAATATCCACCTTTTCAACGGGCCATAATTGTATATTCTCGACACTAGATGAATTTCCAAGTCTTGTTTGGTCTTCTTTCCTGGCCCTTGCCATATTTGTGTTTTTTTCAGCTGACGTTAAGTGACGTCATACATTAAAGGGAGTCAACTCGTGATCATTGAGTACGACAAGGGTTTTACACCGGAGAATAATAGGGTTGTTCTATGGAAGCTTCAATTTTTCGGGATTATTCGCCGGGGAATAATAGTATTGTTCGATGGAGGCTACAATTTGTTAGGATTATTCATCGCTCCTGGCAATTTTTAGAACAAAACATCAAAAATAAACTCAGACACGTGATTCCTTATTAGTCAATCAAGTTATTACTGTATAATGTAAGGTATGATAATATGAATACTAGTATTCAGTGAAGTAAAGCTTTAAACTTAGATTCCAACCATAACATCTGTATTAGCCGAATGTCAGCCAATTGGTACAAATCGTCGAGCATCTTCAGTGCACAAGATAAATCGTTAAATATTTAATGACTTGAACGATATAGATCTGAATGGTAGTCTCATGCAAACATAATGTATTTTTTTCTCTGTTAAATCGATTCAAATATCATACAATGGGATGAATTTTGACTAACTTAAAGGCATTTATTATACATGTCATGTTCGTTTAACAGTATTTTGTGTCCTCGATGGCGTCATCAACTTGTATATAAAGTAAATAATATTTTTTTGTTAATAACATCACTAACACTGCAATGTTCATCGTTACTGTGAGGCGCAAATAAATATATTTTTTAAACATTTATGTTTATAGATGTGTTTATTAAATAAGAGCAATCAAAATTTTTTCAACACAAAATAACACATTTTGGTTCCCAAATACCTTTTAATT